TGACCTACAGTTAGTCTGTAACTGACCTGTACATAAGTAGTCAGAAAGTGTTTGAGAGTTATGACAATGATGTTACAGCAGAAAAAAATAATTGAGATGACTTTCCCTCAATGAAATCTTTTCTTTGATTTACAAAGTGGAAATCTAGGGGCCTTGGGAAGTTTGGAAACAGTCGTATTCCAAACTAACTGGAGGGTCAATTTTTGTTTTTTTTTGGTACCAGGGATCCATTGTGGGTCAGTTTTATACCCCACCCTTATTATGTTTGGGATGGCCATTGTGCTTCCCCTATGGAGAATTCTCTACCCCTTGGGGATTGTGCCCACTCGGCTCAGGAGAGAAGGTTTTACGGGCTGTTACATACATTTTTTTTTTTTAATCTTTTTTTTGAGACAGGGTCTCACTATGCAGTTCAGGCTGACCTTGGGCTCACTGTGTAACCCAGGCTCATCTCAAATTTGCAATGAAACGCATTCCTCAGCTTCCCGAGTGCTGGTATTACAGGGGTACGCCATCACGCTTTTCTTTGGGACACACATGCACTCTAGTTCAAACTTCCTTCCAAAAGTTAAGTGGAAGGATTAGGAAGAATTCTGGCTTGAGGCTGTGGCCCAGTGGTAAGAGCGCTTACCCAGCATTCTCCTGGACTAGGTTTGATCCTCAGTGCTGCAAGACAAAAAGACTCAAATGCTGAAGAATTCTGCTTTGTCCTTACCAAGATTCCACTCTAATCAGGCAACCACAAACCCTAAGATAACTGTGAGCTGTACTCTTTACTCTGATTCTGTCTTGGTTAACAAACTCCCACAACTAGTCAGTGCTTAATATGGTGATTTTCTGGAAATGTGCGAGTAAAGATATTCAGCTTTTGTTAACACTAAAAGCTTGGGAACAAAATGACTTAGAATTGATGTTTGTTTATTCAGTTAAATGCAGCTCTTTATGTTCAAGGGAGGCTTTTTTCTTTCTTTCTTTTTTTGCCTTAGTATCCAGTTTCTGCAATTTAGGAAGTTAGAAAAAGTATAGATCATTTATAGGAACCGTGGTACGTCTTTGTGGCTTAACTCTCTCCTTGTCACATGAAGAGTAATATCTTAAACCAGCAAAGGGCACGTGTGGCACTTGGATACCAGCAACTGCTTAACCTGTTGAGAAGAGTGTGTTGGTAAAAGTACACATACTTGTTTGAAAAGACACATGCTCTCGTTTATTTGTGGCCAGTAGAATTGTAAATTGGTACAATTTTCTTTGGAGGAGATTTTGGCAATAAGTATCCAAAGTCACAAAAACATCCTTTGACCCAGTAAATCATTTCTGGAAATTTATTCAAAACAAATAGTTTAGAAAAACCCATATAAACTATGCTAATAATGATGAAATTCAGAAAACATAAATGCTAAGTAATAAGGGAATATTTAAGTAACTTATGGGTTTCAACTCAGTTGACTATTACATAGCTATGAAAAACAGTAACTATTATCATGTACCAAAAGCAAAGTATGTATGTATATACATATTTATTTTGGTGCTGGGGATCAAATCCAGGGCTGCTTCTTTTTTTTTTTTTTTTTTGTCTTTTTGAAACAGGGTCTCTCTATGCAGTTCAGGCTGGCCCTGAGCTTACTTTTTAGGCTAGGCTGGTCTTGAACTCACAACAATCCTCCTGCCTCAGCCTCAAGAGTGCCAGGATTGGAGGTTTGAGCTACTATGCCTGTCTAAATCCAGGGCTTCTTTTTTTTTTTTTGTCTTTTTCATTTTTATTGGTACCGGGGATCAAACTCACGACTGCCTGCTTGCAAGGCAGGTGCTTATACCGTTGAGCTAAATCCCCAGGCCCTATCCAGGGCTTCTTGCATGCTAGGAAAGGGCCCCACCACTGAGCTATTCCCCAGCCCTGGAAAGGTGTTAGTAGCATTCAAAATCATGAAAACATTCTGTAGAAAGACATGTATCCTTCAATTATGCTCCTCAAAAGAAATGGCAAATTCTTTTTTTTTTTTTAATGTGCAGGGTGCCAGATGTGATGGCACATGCTTGTAATCCCAGCACCTGGGAGGCTGAGGCAGGAGGATCACTAATAGTTCAAGACTAGCCTCAGCTACAAAGTGAATTTAAGGCCAGCCTGAACTGCACAGTGAAATCTCATCTCAATAAATAAATAAAAATAAATAAATTTTTAAAATGTGCAGAGCATTGAATCCAGGGCCTTGTGCATGCTGTGTGAGTATTCTGTGAGTGAACTATAATCCTGGTCTCAAGAGAACAAATTCTAAAATAAGTGACAATGGTGAGTTATCACAACCTTGAGTTTATATCATGGATTTCAAAAACTGCAAAGAAACAGAGAAACTTCAAGATGATGTTGGGAAAATTCAACCTTGTAGAAATCTTTCTAAATTTCTGAGTGGTGTTCAGAGAAGCAACAGAATATACTCCTAGCACTGGCGAGGGGCTTCAATCACATCTGCATGCGGAAGCAGCCGGCTATCTTTAATTTGCTCTGGATATGCTGAAGGGCTCAAAACAATTCTCTGGAGGTTAATGAGCACAGTAAACTGCCTCTGCTTGCAGGGAGAATCCCTTGGGAACTGGAAAGTTATTTTGGAATGATTTAAAATTCACAGAAGTCCAGATTTGACTGCCTCCGCCCCCTACTGTCAGCAGTCAAAATACTCTTATATTGAAAGAGGTCCCACGTTTTAGGGAGCTTGCAGTGAATGCCACTCTCTCAACTTGGTGAGGCAAAAAGGGTAAGATGCCAGACAGACAGCTAAGAAAGACAAAAGGTGGGCGCAGTGCTACATGCCTGTAAAGCCACACCCTGGGAGTCTGATGTGGAAAGATTGGAGCTTGACTGGCCAACATAGTGACTCAGTGTTACGCTTTGTGTCTGGATGTCCCCTGAAAGCCTCATGAGTGCTGATCTAGGGTTTGTGACCGATTCATTGTCTAGTGCTGGGATTATGGATGTGAGCGCTACCCTTATCCTCGGGCGGGTGGATGTGGCCAAATACAAAGTCTTCTCTCGCTCCTTCCCTGTTGTCTGTGCTGCTTTTTTTTCCACTGCCATGAATGTTGCTCCTAAGCCATGCCACATTGCCTCGGAGCCAGACAAGTATGGACTGAAACCTCCATAAACTGTGAGCTCAAGAAACCCTTCCTCCTTTAACTTTGGTTGTTGGGTATTTTGCCTCAACAATGAGAAAAGAGTAACACACCCAGTTAGTGAGACCTTGTCTCAAAATACAAAATAGAAAAGAGCTACAAAAAGAAATGATTCAAAGGGAAAGTTTGTAACAAATTCAGTAAATTAATCTTGTTTCAAAAAACTGCTTGTTGGTGCACACTTGTGATAGCTGTGTGCTTGAGAGACTGAGGCAGGAGGATCACTGGGAATTCAAGGCCAGCCTGGGCTACGTAGTGAGTCAAGTCCATCCCGAACTACACTGACTCTGTCTCAATACACACACACACACACACACACACACACACACACACACAGAGCTACTTGTGATAATCTCTTGTTTCCAACTGTAAGTTTCTAAGTCCAGATGTGGGGGAAGATGCATGAATAAGTCCAACCAATTTTACAGTTGGAAAAATAAAATGTTATCAAGTAAAAGGAAACGCATGTATTTTGTGTCTGTCTCCTGTGCAGGTACTTATATTTAAGCAAAAATCACATAGCCCTTAAAATCTAGGTGCTTAATTCAACCCCTTCACATTGCCACAGCATGTCAGGATTTCACAGGTCCTGAGGCCACATCTGACTTCTGTGCCTATGTGTTAGCTCAATTCCTCAATGCGGGGAACCAAGCAAGGGCATTCAGGCAAAGTACTAGCCTGTCCTCAACTTTTTCAAAAGCAGGGCAATAGGGAAATACCTGAGTTTGGGTGGGATATCTTATTAGTTCGCACAGCATGGGAGGGGGAGAATTTATGGGTACACAAGCTCTCAGGACCAGTACAGAAAGCAGAAAGTCTGCAAACCTGCACACTGGGTTTGCCAGGATCCACCACACTGCGTGAAGCACACACATCCCCGAATTTCTGTATGCTCACACGGCTCATTGTTGTTCCAACCTGATAGTTACATTTTTCTGTATTGAGATTTCAAAATTAGGGCTTGGAGAAGGAACACGTGATGTATCTTGTACTTGAGGCCAAGGCGTGGTGGCTCTGACAAAGAAAACCCAAGTTGCCAGGTGATATAGCTCAGCAGTACAACAAGTGCGTATCGTGTGTGACCTGGGGTTCATTCCCAGCACCAAGGCCAGGGTTTGGGGAGAGATGCCAAGTGGAATGGAGGGAAATAAGGATGATTTTAGAAGAATGTGACTGTTTGAGGCTGGGGATTTAGCTCAGCGGCATAAGCATCTGCCTGGCAAGCACAAGGTCGTGAGTTTGATCCCGGGTACCAATTTGGAAAAAACAAAATGTGATTGTTGAGAAGTGTGAGTTGTACTCACTGAGATCATGCTTTGATTAAATTGTGCTAGGCAATAGGGTCGGGGGTGTTACAAACATTTATATACTTAACATTAAGCACCCAAATATTTAACAACAGTTTAGCCCCAGGAACAAGCACCCATCGTGCTATACATAAGATCGCAGGCTGAAAGTCAGCTTGCTGCTGTGTGTGGGAAGTTTGTGCTTTGTACAGAGAATTGAAAGGCAGATTGGGGGTAATAATGGTGAAGTCAGAACTGCAAAAGCAAACATGTTCTAGTTAATTGAATTAATATGTGACTTGGGGGAAGTTTTCAGTGTGTGTGTGTGTTTTGTTCTCTTTGAGGAGTGGTCTCACTGTGTAGTGAGGCTGGTCTTGAACTCACGGTGATATGCCTGCCTCAGCCTCCCAAGCGCTGAGATTACAGGTGCGAGGCACCACGCCCAGACATTGGCTTGTTTCTTCTTCCTCCATATCTTCCCGTCCACCTGCAAGTTCACTGTGGCCAACGTTCCCTTGAGATTGGCTGAGGAGAGAGAGGAGCCTACACTTGGAAAGACTGCTTTGTACTTTATTTACAACAGAATGTAAGAAAAGGTAAGTTATTAACAATAATAAATAACTGGGACGGGGGAACGACACAGTACAGCCAGAAAATGACACAGAAGGAGGGCGTATGTGATGGCTCACTCCGCTGGTCCTCTGTAACACCGGGCGCTCCGACGCTTGGTCCTTCGGCAGTGGCAGTGGTGTTGGGACTAACTTAACCAATCAAGAGCCCAGTTTGAAACGTAAATGCTACAAATTACACTTAAAGCTACACAGCAATGACATAGGGATAAGATCAACTCAAAGAACCTCTTGTCTCTGTGGTGCTACAGAGAGACTGCCAACCCAACAGGCAGGACTTTAAAAACAAAACCCCCAAACATCTGTTCACATCGTAGCAACATGACAATTAATAATAGCATCTGAAAAGCTCTCAGCAGATCCACATTCTCCTCTTGCACTAACTCTTATGAAGCTTCAACAGTTTCATTTCAAATGCAAACAGATTATTCTGAAGGGAATAGAACAGGGAAGCGCCCAGATGTTTCCCCCCAGCACACCAGCGCTGCTGTTACCTGATGCTTGTTTCAGCAAGAGTGCACAGCTGAAAGCAGTTTATTGATAATCAAGTTTCAGCCACTACACAGGATTTTTTTCCCCCTTAATTTCAACAACCATGGCTCAGATGCCAACTGTTACCTAGCCCTCTGAGTCAGGTGACCAGAAGCACTAAAATCACATAGTTTTCCTTTATTGGATTATCTGGTTATACATTTTATATAGAGTCAGTTATATTCTCTCCCTTCTCAAAAATAAAATTCCTATTGACCCAGGCCAGCCAGTCACCTATCACTCTGTTGTCTGAGCCATAAAGTAGGATTATTTTTTATTTTGCTATGCTGAGATCAAACTTGGGGCACATGCTAGGCGAGCACTCTACCACTGAGCTGCATCCCCAGCCTAAAAAGAAAGTACAACTTAGAAACACATTCATCCTGAACCTTTCACTGAAAAATGATTCATCAAGATGTGTCACAACCTAGTCTCTGGGTTCAGTTTGTTACAGTGCCTTGAAATAAAACCACATAATTACTTTTGGGAGCACTGCTGGATCTTGAAGTTTCTTCATTCCATAGCTCAACTATGCTACTTATTTTCACAACCAAAACATGGCTAATATCAACCTCTAAATAAATTAAAACTGCTTTCTCATGTATAGATGCCAAACCCTAATAGGAGGGTTTGTAAATTAGTTCACCAATAAACTCATATTGTTTTAGTTCTAATAGCGACAACTAAACATGTCACAGCCTCTTTGTTATCTTTTTTTTTTTTCTTTGCTTCATTTTACTATAGCTCAAAAGTGGAATGGTCTTCACAGGTGACTTCTGACAAAGGTTATGCGGTAAGAGACCTTCTTATCCCAGGAAGACACAGCCAAAGCGAGAATGCTACAGTAGAGCCAACGAAAAGCACAGGGACCGTTTGAAATCCTCCTGAGTGACAAAGCTCGTGATCATTTTGATGGTTTCTGCTAACATCAGAGATGAAGAAGGATGGACGTATGTATTAGCCTATGGATTACCTATTTTAACTTGGCTACCAGATACTTAAAACCGATGGTGTATGACCCACTACACTATATTTATATATATATACAGGTATAATACAATTTTGGTGAACAAAGCTGAGAGCTGCAGACCGAGGCACTGAGTTAAGGATTCTATTTTTCCTCAAACATGCTTAGCAAATTCAAGTTTCTGCTTGGTTTCTCTTAAATTTCTGTCATGCAACCATTTAATTTCCATCCTGATAAGAATTATTAATGTTATATATACACATTCATTGCAGGCTTGTGCCCCTCGATAACAAATTCATGTATGGAGAAAGTGAATGAGAGCTGGAAACCAAGATGTGTAAGACGCTGAAGTTGTCTGTCTTGTGATGAGGATTAAATATTCAAAGCAGCTAAAGGAATATCTGCACCCGTGTCCCCTAATGCTCACGGACCACATGTAGACAGAAAAACTAGACACACTTAAAGAGCACATATTCGTGGGTTAGCAATTACACTGTCATGGGTTGCTTTGCAATTGATGTCTGTGGTATTATACTGGCTATAAAAGTAATGAAACTCATAAAATGAAATCAGAACGTAGCTAAAACATGGAATTGTTGACCTTGACAGCAAAAGCCATTTCATGAAAAGAGGAAAACAATAGTGGTGTCCATGGAAAAACTAGGAGCCAGATATGTCAACAAGCTGCACCAAATAAGTTTGTTCTACGTGAAAATGACGATCCCATCCCTACCCTGATTTCAGCTTGCAAATGGTAAGCAATTACATACACGCTCTCCAGGGTTTCTGAAAGGAGAATTTTGCTTTCTAGAGCCAAACATTCTCATGAAAAGTCCTAGTGCACGGAGAGGGAGCCACTGAGTTCAAGGGGGTTGATAAAAGATTAAATTTTCTTACAAGCAAATTCATGCTTCCATACCATGCAAAGAAGGCGTCTTACTACGGTACTATCATCCATCAGTAAAAGGCGTAGGGTTGATCTAAGCTATATGCAACCGGTTTCCTTTGAGTACAGGGTCTGTTTGCCTTGTAAGCTAAATGCCGATCTATATATAGGTGAAGGAAATGATGGAGACTCTCGGAACACTTTGGTGCTGGGCTCCTGGGTCCAGCGCCGGCACCTTGGAGAGTGTTTCGACCTGAAAGACTACACGGGGTGCTGAGCGCTGGGCGGGGCAGGCAGCGCCCCCTGGCGGAGGGGCTGAGGATAGGAGCACACGCTCCTTGGTTGGTTTGGTTTCCTTTGGAATCTGTGTTTTGGGAAGGTCCATTTCCTGAGGTTGGAGGCTATGGCCAGGAAGGCTGGCTGGGTAGGGCACGGGCCCTGGAGATGCCCAGTTATCTCGTTTTCCTCGTCTCGAAGGACAGTGTCAGGGCTGAGACTCTGCTTGCTCTCCCTTCCGTGTTTAAAGGCAGTGAGGTGCAATCACGACAGATTTCTCTCTTTAGACCACAGGAGAGTCTCTTCTCTGTCACTCTGATGAAAGATCTTACCTTCTGTCAACCTTGATTCTAATCTTGCATTCCCACTACTTGCCAAAAGGAAAGCAAGGCAAAGGGACATTTGTTATTAATACCCCCCTTTTTTATAAACAAGAGTCAGCAATTTTTCTCATTCTCTTCCCACGTGGCAGTATTTACTTGATTTCCACAATATTCCCAATGTTTGTGGGTTTTTGTTTTTGTTTTTTAGACAGGGTCTTGCTAGGTAGTTCCTATTGGCCTTGAACTCACTACACAGTCTAGGCTGGCCTTGAACTCACAGTGATCCTCCTGGCTCAGCCTCCCAAGTGCTGGGCTTACAGCTGTGCACCATCATGCCCACTTCCAAAATTTGAATTTCTTTCATTTTTTGGGTGCAGTGCAGGAGGTTGAACCCAGGGCCTTCCACAAGCTCAAGTGCTCTACTACTGAGCCACAACCCAGCCCCCACTGTTGGGATTTCAAGGAAGGAGAAACAGAATGGCAGTCTTCTCTACAGTCTGGTAGCAGCAACTCACCCCGGGTAGGTCTGGATGTCTCTAAGAGTAGAGCCAGGAGGGGACCTGGAGATAATTCTCTTTTTCATGATTCACACACCAGATATTCTGACAGTGTTAAAGCCCAGTGAGTGTATTCTATTCTTGAACTTCTTCAAATGTGCAAACTGTTAGTGAGTTCTATTCAGTTAATTGCAAGCTCTGAGAAATCTTAAAGGATGCCGGAATCTGTCTAGTCAGTGTTGGTTGGTACCTGTAGAGGAAAGAGATGTTTGTCTCACCTGGGCATCTTGGTCTCTAAACTAAGCCATTCTGAATAAATCACTTATGGTCATAATCACTCGTGCAATTCTTGAAGATTTCTGAGGCCACAAGGGCACAAGGGGGTACAGCTATTAAAAGACAGATACAAGTGGAATATTTATTAAATTTTGTGGAAGGCATACATAAGTTATTAATTGCACTTGGAGCCTTTATAGATTGATAATTAAAATTTTCAAAAATTTAAAGAGTTTAAGTTGGCCCCAAATCCTGAGTCAGACTAACCAAAATAGGAATCTCAGTAACCATTGGTATTCAAGTATTGGTGGTCAGCAGTTCACAATTTAATGATTAGATACATGACGCCTGAGAGTATTTTTGAGAATTTCAGGTTTGAAGGGAAGGAGGAGCCTTCACTATGTCAGCACACCTGGCAAAGATGCCGTAAACTTCCCTAGATTCACCCTCGAAGTCCACGCCAACCCCAACAAATGCTTTCACCCTGGCTGACGGTGGTGCCTATAGAAGATTCCTTGTTGTTTTGCAAGTCTTACATCTACCACGATGCTGTGAGACATACTTAGGGATTCGTACTATTTGTGAAGTTACTTAACCACATGCACACTTGGAGATCAAAGGGACATGTCTGAGCAACGAGGCAATCCTTTCCTACACCAGAAGATTCCTTCAACAACCAAAAACAGAACCCCAAACGAAAATATAAAACCCCGTGAGATATTCATAGGAGGTTACTCTGACTTGGGCCGACATGGCTTATCAGAAGAGTATACGCCAGGTAAATTCAAGGTGGCTTTTTTCTCGGGGTCTGGAAGGGTGAGAGTTTCTGGAGCAGACTTTTTCCGGGGCCGATCTCTGGGAACAGACAGAAATTCGGGTGCATCTGTGGACAGGGGTGTGGACGGCGCGCTGGACGGGGCGCTGCGCACGGAGGGCAGCAGGGGGATGCTGGAGATAGAAATCGCAGGAGGGAAAACGCCGATCTTCTTGTTGGTGGCTTCCTGAGTGGCTCGTTCAAATTCGCGGACGTCATCCATTGTCATGTCTTTAAAGGGAAAAACAAAGAAAAATGAGTCCTGACTTACAAGGATACAGGAGGGTGCGTCACTACACCTGTCCTTACAGGATCTATGGGGAGGTCACCACTGGAAGGAGCCAGTAAGTCCTTCCTCCTGAGGCATGCCCCTGAAGAAAACATTCCCTTAGGAAACCACCCAAGAGCTCCTAAGAAACACTCTTCAGTGAGTAGTTTAAATATTCTGAATAAAGACTTAAATAGGAGAGTGTAGATAGATGTAGGCCTGGGGAACGTGTGTGTGAGCGTGGGTTTGATTGTTGGTAAGGCATGGAGTACTTTAGCTCTGGTTATCTCTTTCATAAGGAGAAGGTAATTAAAGCAATCCATGGCTCTGAAATGACGACATATATCCATGTTATTGCTGACTTTAGGTCACAGACAGTACCTTTGTAGGATAAAATCAGACAAATCAGTAGCTTTTTTTTTGTCTTTTTGAGACAGGGTCTCTATGCAGTTCAGGCTGACCCTGAGCTCACTTTGTAGCCCAGGTTGATCTCGAAGTCTCAACAATCCTCCTGCTTCAGCCTCCCAAGTGCTGGGATTACAGGCATGAGCTACCATGCTCGGTCATAATGCTCAGAGTATATTGTTTGGTTTGGTTTTGATTTTTTGGGGGACCAGGGATTGAACTCATGACCTTGAGCCTGCCAGGCAGGCACTCATACCACTGAGCTAAATCCCCAGCCCAACAGCATTTTTTAACACGCTACCTTCTTACGTAGTAAATTACTTTTTGCCTTCCAAAGGGGCGCCAAGATTCTGCTGTTCCTGGTTTCCTGACTGTATTCACCCTGAGTTTGTTCAGATGCTGTGTTTTAATTCATTTTAAAACAGATGATGGTAAGAACCAAAACTCTAATGATTATTCTACAGCCAAGAAAATAAAGCCATTTCTCAAAGCAACTTAAAAGAAAAAGAACAGAGAATGAAAAGAGAGGATCATTTAATGTGTGAAAAATTTTCAAGAGAAAAAAAAATCGTTATTTAGAATTCAACAAATAAATCAGTAATGTCTCTTATAATAGGTATTGCCAGGTCATGTAGGTTTTCCAAACACTTGAAGTGTTCTTAAGTGATGGGATAAAAACATTTAAAAACTGTAAACTTTTCCCTAGTATATTTAGCTAATTATATATATTTAACTACCTTTAACACAGAATCAGTTGAAAATATACTGATCATTGTGCAAGAATCCAGCTGGACTTCCGTCTCAGGCTCTGTAGCTCAGAAACTGCATTATCCTGGTTATTATTAATTACTGTCACTGTGGCTAGTTCTAGTGTCCTTTACCATTTTCATTTACCAGAAGCGGAAAAGAGCAGGCACTGGTTTACTAGAACAAGCGGAGTGAAGGCTTAAGGGCTCCAGAGTAAAACGTGAACTCTGCTGCCGATGGATTTCCTACATCTATTTTGGCTTCCAGAGACCTGCTTTTCATTCTTTCTTGTCCACTGCCATATACTTAGTAGTTCAGATTTTCTTAGATGACAATGCATGGCTAAACTGTCATGTGATAACACAGCCACTTTGGAAATATTAAGTGTGAAATGAACATTCATGATACAGTATTAATCATTAGGCTTTATAATACTGAATGAACCAGAAACATTTTTTTTTCATAAAATGAAATCTGTAAGATTTCCTTGTGAATAACAACCAAAATTTCCTGAAGGGGAAATTTTTTTTAAACAAAGGGGAGTTTAAAAAATTACAACTGTTGATATAATGCAAAATACAAACTATATCAAGAAAATTTGTATTATAATGAACCACTTTCAGAAAATATTAAGACTATTAAACAAGCTAAGAAATCAGAACAAATTTTATTTAATTAATTAATGTATTTACTTTTTGTTTTTTGAGATAGGGTCTCACTCTGTAAGTCTGGCCTTGACTCACTATGTAGCTCAGGTTGGCCTCAAACTTGCAGGGCCAGTCTTCCTGCTTCAGCCTCCCCAGTGCTGGGAGTAAAGGCATGTGGCACCACACCTGGCTTAGATCGAATTTTTAAAATGATGCATTAACCTTGAAACAAGGTCGACACTTTCAGAAAAATTTTAGTAAATTGAATTATCACATGTTTTTCTACAATAAAATCTTTTTTCTAAAGAAGTGGCAGAATATGTTGCTTTGTTCCCTGCATCCAGCAGGGGGCAGAAATCATCCAAAACACAGAATTTTGATTTTCTACACCTTTCCTGAGTCTCTTATAATTTCCCTTCCTTAAAGGCTTTGAAACCTCTCCCCTGAAAATCAGACTGATATTTCCACATTGCTGTGTTCATGGACATTAATTTTGTACTTCCTGTCCAATTTACTCTTGCTTAGGCTGATGACTTAACATGCAGTTTTTGTGATACATTGCAGCCTCTTGGTTGGAACTGTTTTTCATTGTGATAGAAGAAAGATTGTGGAAAAATAAATGATCCCCAATTTCATGAAATTCCAAAGAATAAGGCAACTGTCACAAGCACCCAAAATAACTACTGTGCATAACTTTTCAAGGGAAGAACATTTCTCATGCCGAAGTCATGGGAACAATCATGATTTGCAGCCAGAGGATGCGTGAGGCCTCCCGAGGGGTGGGACATAAGTACCCAGGGTCTCTCCTCCTGCATAGTGAGCTGACTTCATCATCATCATCAAAACTGAAAGCCAAGCAAAGAGTCTTAAAGCTGCAGGCTTTAAGAACTGGGAATAAGAAAATCACTGTGTTTAGTGCCCTTTGCCATGCGGTGTTTCCTCCTTCCACGTGGCTTCCTTTGTCACCTTTATAGTGTGCGGCTTTCCTAAGTGGCTGAGGGGGAACCGGCATCTAACATTCCTAAAAGAACAGATCAGTGAAAGTGATGGAAATTTAGAACACTTTACTTAAAGCACACTTTTAACTTTAGAACAGGGAGACAGGAGGTGGCAACCTTATCAGAATGGCTGTGTGTAATGAGAAATCCCTTTAGGTAGCTTCCTACAAATCCAATCCCAGCAAGCAACCTTAGGGGGAGGGGTTGGGGCCACCAGGGGAGTCCATGCATCCAAGGACGGTGCCTGAGCCTTGCAGGGTGCGTGCCAAGACACATGCTCTAGAAACTGAAACTTTCCCAAGTGCGGCCAGAAAGTCTTCACAATTCTAAAGCAGCCATCTACAACACCCAGCCCCCTTTAAGTTTTCTACAACTACATTCTTGATTCTTAAAAAGCCTAATATGCATTACTCTGGTGTCTGGGTTGAAGACTGGAGAACTCAAACTGGAACCCAAAGTGATCCCAGCTCTGGCTGAAGGTCTACATGATTTGGTGATTGAGTCTTTCATTTGTTAACTGTTTCTCCTCTTCATTAGCATGAATGTTTGAGAGTTATTTATTTATTTATTGTAACTGGGGGTTGAACCCAGGGCCTTTGCACTGAGCTACATCCCCAGTCCTTTATTTTTTTTAAATTTTGAGACAGGTTCTCATAAAGTCACTAAGTCACTTAGTCTGCATTCAAACTTGTGATCTTTCTGTCTCTGATTCCACAGTGCTGGGATCACAGGTATGTCCCACCACACCCAGGGAGACAGCTATATTTAAAATGCTGGCACGAACCATACAGTCAGCTGTCAGTTTCCAGTGTGTGACTAGATAACCTAAGGGGCTGAGGCTTTTGCTAAGTCCCAGGCTGAATCCACTTTGCAGCCTGGAGCATTCCCAGCTCATCACCACTTGCCTGCTCGGTCTGCGTGTTTACAGACTGCCGCTCTATCTTGAGATTACCCTAAGTAAAAAAGAACCAACTGGGTAAAACAGTTATTCAAAGCCCTAGGAAGCGTTTCAAAACACACATAAAGGAACCTAAAATAGCAGATGAGCCAGAAGCCACCCTTGAATGAACAAGTGAGTGTTAGCTATGTTTTGCAAAGTCACTGACATGTTGTTCTAGTTGACATATGATGCCCGTTTTCACTTCTGTGCTCTTCGATGGTTTGCAGAGGCCATTTTACTAGGACCAAAACATGTTTCCACTCTCCATGTTCTTGGTTTTATGATAAAAACCAGACCAAAACAAAAAAAACCCAAGTCAAACAGTTTTAAAGGACAGAAAGGTCTAGAAAACAGAGGTGATGCTGTCTGCCTTAGAGCAGCTCAGCGCCTTCGCCCACTGCTTCTAGGGAATGGCGTTTTTGGAGAAAGCCAGGAAAGGAAGGTTTGCGTATTTCAAAGATCAGTTTATGGGTTTCTTTCGGACAGGGTGGGCAACATGTTTGAAAAATTCTACATACACTTGTTTGGGCATGGCTCTCTATGTCATCCACAGTGGAGGAATGCTGATTGCAAACTTTTATGTTGGTTTGTTCATGCATGTTTTTCTCGTATTCCCGAACATCATCCATTGTCATATCTGAAAGAGGTCAAGATGGTGGCAACTTCCGTTATTAAATGCAAACTTTAACGGGGAGACTTTAGAGAGAGATGGGAGCTCAGCAGTAGCCAAGGAGGTTTAAAAAAGCAGAGGGCGGACTAACTTTATGAAGAGGAGGTCATAAAGTTAGCTAAAACAGCCAAGGGGGAGTGAGCGCTAGGAGGTTAAGTCAAAATAGACTCAGAACACAGAAGAGTGGAAAATATTTAGGGGTGATTCTTGTAAAGTGGTTTCGGTGGTACTCAGTAGTAGCGTGTGGGCAGCGCACAGCCTGAGATCTCCTAAAGCTTCGTTAGAAGATCCCTTTGGGGAGGGTCAGGTTTATTTGGTTTGATACTTACCTTCACATACCTTGCCAGACACACTTAGAGGTTCTTTAAATTAATGCATTCAACAACAGAAGGGACACTTTCATTGCTATTGTAAGAGACAGGATGTAGGAGGCTGACCATGATGTTCACTGGTATAAATGAGATTTGGTGCAACTGTCACACAGAGAGGGATTTTTGCAGAATACATGATGTCAGAGAGAGTACGGGACTACACTTCAAGTCTAGCCTAGCAGCTT